ATAAGTCTGCAGGTAGGGTTGTTGGAAAAATTTGGTTTATGATCTTTCAGGGTGATGAATGAGTCCTTTGTTGCTAGTGAGTCAACACGGTTGTCGATGCCAAGACTTTTTGTAATTTTCTTTTCATCAGATATTATTCTGTCCGTGGTTTTTGTCGGGGCTTTCTTGTAGGTTTTTGTTATTGCAGTATCAATTAACTTGTCATATGTGGGGGCGTCCAAACGGTAGAAATTTGTGGTTTTATCGGCAGCAACAAGTAGTTTCTCGTCTGCTCTAATTTTTGACAAGTCCTGTGATAGTTTGTCCTGGAATTCGGTGTAGTGGTTTTTAAATTGGACGTTCTGGATAAGTGAAAGCATCTTGCCTTCAAATGCTTCTAGCTCTTTGGTTGGCGGTGGGGATTTAGTTGTATTAAACCCGAATGTTTCTTTGGTAGGCTCAGATTGTGTTGGCTTTAAAAAATTCGCTCCTTTATTGTTGAGCACTCTACGAATTAATATGGAACCTACCAACCTTGGATACTCAACTAAGAACATACCTATCGCGCAGCCAAAGGAATACTTGAAATGTTTGGTCGAGAAAACAGAATCATTCCTACGACGCGTCAGATGGAAAGCATACCATTTTTTAAAGCCAACACAATCTGAGCCTACCAAAGAAACATTCGGGTTTAATACAACTAAATCCCCACCGCCAACCAAAGAGCTAGAAGCATTTGAAGGCAAGATGCTTTCACTTATCCAGAACGTCCAATTTAAAAACCACCACACCGAATTCCAGGACAAACTATCACAGGACTTGTCAAAAATTAGAGCAGACGAGAAACTACTTGTTGCTGCCGATAAAACCACAAATTTCTACCGTTTGGACGCCCCCACATATGACAAGTTAATTGATACTGCAATAACAAAAACCTACAAGAAAGCCCCGACAAAAACCACGGACAGAATAATATCTGATGAAAAGAAAATTACAAAAAGTCTTGGCATCGACAACCGTGTTGACTCACTAGCAACAAAGGACTCATTCATCACCCTGAAAGATCATAAACCAAATTTTTCCAACAACCCTACCTGCAGACTTATAAATCCATCGAAATCTGAGATCGGGATTGTCAGCAAGCAAGTCCTTCAAAGGATCAATTCCAAAATTGTCAAATCCACCAACATAAACCAATGGAAAAATACTGACGCAGTAATAAAGTGGTTTAACAACATGCCTAGTAAATCTACCCGCTCGTTTATCAGCTTCGATATAGTAGATTTCTATCCGTCTATATCAGAAGAGCTCCTGAAAGAATCCCTAGCATTCGCCTCACAATACGACGAAATAACCGAAAATGAGAAAGCCATTATCATGAAAGCTAAGCAATCGCTGCTCTTCAACAGGAATACAACTTGGCGAAAGAAAACACCAGCCGATTCACTTTTCGATGTAACCATGGGCAGTTTTGACGGGGCTGAGACATGCGAGTTAGTGGGATCGTATCTTCTTTCACAACTAACGGCAGAGTACGGCAATGATATCGGTCTGTACAGAGATGACGGCCTCGCAGCCTTTGACAAAACACCGCGTGAAATCGAGACCATTAAGAAAAGCATTTGCAAAGTTTTCAGTGACAACAACTTGAAAATAACCATCGAAGCCAACAAAAAATGCGTGAACTATCTAGACATTACACTTGATCTCAGATCGTCATCTTACAAGCCATATATGAAACCCGGAAATACACCGCTATATGTCAACCACAACAGCAACCACCCGCCTACAATACTACGCAGCATACCAGATGCTATTAACAAGAGGCTATCAAACATATCCTCAGATAAGCAATCCTTCCAGTCGGCCGCGCCTCCATATCAGGAAGCCCTGCGAAAGAGTGGTTTTAACTACGTCCTTAATTACAATCCCCAGCCACCAAAGCCTAAACGTAATAGAAGCAGAAACGTGATATGGTTTAATCCTCCCTACAGCGCCAACGTTGCCACCGACATTGGTCACAAATTTCTGCAGGCTATTGATGAATGCTTCCCACCACACCATCCCTTACATAAACTGTTCAATAGGAACAATCTTAAGTTAAGCTACAGCTGTATGCCCAACGTGCACAATATCATCACGGCGCACAACAGAACTGTACTCGATCGCAAGCAGCCCGAGGCTACTAAAAATTCCGATAGGAAGTGTAATTGCCGTCAGGAAGAATCCTGCCCCCTCCCTGGCAAATGTTTAACCGAAAGCGTTGTATACCAAGCCACAGTAACGAGAAAAGACAACCAACAGAAAGAAACCTACGTTGGACACACAGCGGGCCCATTTAAAGTGAGATACTACAACCATACAAGCTCGTTCAGGAACCCGGATCATAAACATTCAACTGAACTGAGTAAATATATTTGGCAGTTGAAACAGTCCAACATAGAATACTCTATTCGTTGGAAAATTTTAAAGAAATGTAAGGCCTACTCAAACAAAACAAAACGTTGTAAATTATGCCTGCACGAAAAGTTCGTTATAATTTACTATCCCGAACTAAGCTCATTGAACTCAAGAAACGAACTAATATCGGCATGTAGGCACAGGAAAAAATTCCTGCTCTGTAGCCAGTAGTCAGATTACAAACATATATTTACGCTTTCCTAATGACGTCAAACATTTGTATATAACAACTCAAGTTACCTATAGGTTATAACATCATGTAAATACGCGATATCACCATTCACCTGATGAGTGTGGCAAGCCTAGCTTGCCATACGAAACAAATTTGTTGTGAATAAATGTTTTAAACGAAGTAACTCAAGCTTGTCTTTTATATATATATATATATATATATATATATATATATATATATATATATATATATATATATATATATATATATATATATATATATATATATATATATATATATATATATATATATATATATATATATATATATAATTTTGACTTAAAAAATATAAAAAAGTCGATATATATATATACACTGGATCCAGAAAAGTTTGACCTTCGAATATATATATATGTCGGCCATTTTGAATTTTCTTGGGTTAATTATACGCGAACGCATACATCAAATGTCGCTCGCAACGTATTGTATATTGCAATATTATTCCAACAGCTCAAATGAATAAAAGAATCATTGATTGATGTCTTTGCACATAAACATAATGGCTAGTAGGAAATGAACATTTGGAAATGAACATAGTGACCTGCTTCGCTAGGTCACGAATGCTGCGCGTGCTGAGTTTCAGGGGATGAAATATCGAATGACTATCGATTCCGTTAAAATTTCCGTTGGCAAAATATAATAATTCTGGACGTAGGTTACAGCTATAAAATAAGCACAAGTGAATACGAAAGAATAAACAAAGAAATTCATGGAGGCATGCTAATAAGCGTCTAAATCTCTAAGGATGCAAAAGAATAAATTACGACATGCCAAAAAGATCAGGTTCTAAATTGTGACAAGAGTTAATTAGCTAACAACCCTCAAATGTTCATTAGATAGCTACTACAAATATGTGTAAGAACTTCAAGCAATGATCCTTTACTTATTTGAGCTGTTGGAATATTGCAATATACAGTACGTTGCGAGCGACATTTGATGTATGCGTTCGCGTATAATTAACTTCAATTTGGAGAAAATTCAAAATGGCCGACATATATATATATATTCGACGGTCAAACTTTTCTGGATCCAGCGTATATATATTTATATATATATATATATATATATATATATATATATATATATATATATATATATATATATATATATATATATATATATATATATATATATACTGAATATAATATAATATAAACGAGTATGTTTACGACATTCAATATTTATTTCATAATTTCCAGTCTTAAGTCCGTCTGACCGTGTAGCTCAGTTGGTAGGGCGTCGATCTAGTAATTCGAAGGTCGCGGGTTCAAGACCCAGCCGCGGCAGACAACATCTTTCTGCTTGCGCTGGGTATGGAAATTATATAATACACACTCTAGAACATTTTCATCTTTATATATATATATATATATATATATATATATATATATATATATATATATATATATATATATATATATATATTATATATATATATATATATATATATATATATATATATATATATATATATATATATATATATATATATATATATATATATATATATATATATATATATATATATATATATATATATATATATATATATATATGTATATATATATATATATATATATGTAGATAGATAGATACACTGAGGGCTTAAACTGATCGGTCGATCACGGGCATTGTCCGATCCATTCGTGAAATTGTCCGACGTAAAGAAGAAACCACCGGACATTCTCTCCGAACTAAGTGAAACTCAGGTAAACGTTTATTGTTTGTCCGACCCGAGTGTATTGCTGTCCCACCAAACTGTAGCTTTGTCCAACGTAAATCAAAATTACCCCAGTCCAGGACTAGAGGCTCGTAATGTTAAATGGAGACTCAGTAGTATAAAAAGTGAACTGGAAATGTTGTTTTAATAGGGAGCTTTAGATTTGACTACGAGTACGACTACGAGTACGAGATTCGTCAAGCTAAACGCATGCTGTATGCTTACGCCATCCCGTACTGACGCGAAAAAGTCGTAGCCGTCGCCCATCTGAGTACGAACTTGCGGAGAAATCTCGTAGTCCTCACTACGACTTTTCAAAAAAAACAAAGAAAGTTGGCTTTTTTTTGTTTTCCAAAAATAATTTGTAGCATTTATATGGCGTTTATCCGGCGCAAATAATATATTAATACTAAATATCTGGCCTGTTTTTAATGTTAGGACTCATTTTCACGTTTTGTAGGGGATTTTAGTCTGCAGGAGATTTAGTTTATGAAACTTTTTCTCTCGTTGTTGGTTTACTGCTATAAAAACAACATTTGAGTGAAAACGAAAACGACTACGGTAATTTCCTAGCACGCGATGAAATCTCGTACTCGTAGTCGTACTCGTAGTCAAATCTAAAGCTCCGTAATGTAATCAAGGGCGGGGCGGCGAGCGAAGTGAAGTAGAAAAAGGGCTTAAGTTGTGGAACCGTTAATGCTGTTTTTTGGCAAGCAAGTTAATTTT